TGCATGCTAAAATATACAGAGAGAAATTGCTTCTGAAAGAACTTTCTCATTTCAGATCTACTTTTTTTTTTTTTTTAATTTATATTTTAATTTTTCTGCAATACGTTAGAGAATATTTGAAATCATAGCTAATCTTAAAAAGCTCTCTACTATTCATAATCCCACTTCTGTCAAAAAAGAAAAAAAAAAAAAAAAAAAAAAAAAAAAAAAAAAGCAGGAAAAAAGAAAAGCATGAAAGCATCAGGGATTGCAAGCCAAGACTGAAGGTTCTATCTTCCTGTCTGAAAAAAGATTAATCTTGAAATTCTTAGTGGAAATCAGAAATGCTGCTTTTTTTTTTTACTGGAAAAAATGCAAACGGAGTTTGCTATAGCATCTGCTGAAATGGCTTCAAAGTTATGCTGTGGTCTACAGCAGTCCATGGTGAAGAAGTGTATCTCAAACTCCACAGGTTAATGCACAGATGATAGATGTCAGCCTATATCTGGCTTCTCTTTAGCTGAGAGTCTGTTAGACATTTAACTACTTAATATATGTTTTCACAACTTTGTTGTGCAGGATTTTCTGGTATGACATTGGCTAGATATGTCTATCAATTCTTTCTCTTTACATTCAATGCCATTTTTTTAAGATTAATTTAAAACCAACATAGCAACAGGAAACTTAATCCCGTTTAAGAACACAAGTGTCCTCAAATCAGAAGTCTTTCATTTCTATAACTAGAATCAAAGTATAACATTTACCTTTTTCAGAGTAAAACTTCAATTGCTCTTGTTGCTCTTTATTCTTTGGCAAAAACACTTTCTTTTTTAACATGACAGATTGGTAATATAACAAGCTATTTGGAAACATTTAATCTTACCTGGCATAGTCATATAGACACAAACTAGCAGAAACATTATTTCTCAATAAGTGAAACTATATTTTTTGATAGTTTTTAGAATCTGTCAGGTTATAGTCCTTGTAGAATTTACAGATAAACAAGAGATAATAAAGTTCTGCTCTCCGAATGGCTTTGTTTTTAATGGGCATAAGGCCAAGAGGCATCTCTTCTACATGAGGACCTAGAAAACAAGTTCTAATACCTATATGCTAAATCATACCAGGGACTCTCACACTGATGATGCAATATGGACTATAATGCTTATTAAATTTTACTACTTCTGCTTTGAGATTACAGTGTGTCTTGCTTTAGTGGAAAACAGTACATTCTCAATCTGAACATTTAAGGACAAAGTGCTGCTCACCCTGCTCAGGTGTCTCTTCAATCATGGCACTTTTAATCCCACATGAAGGATTTTCTTGAATCTCTTCTGAAAAATTCATTATGCTGCCTGGTAGAGGAGCTGATGAGTGAATTATGGCCTGTGGTTTAGGTTCAGGATCACTTCTTACTAAATCTTCAGGAATACAAAAGCTTGAAGGAGTAACGCTTTTTGTCCATGCTTCTGAAAAGAAAAGAAAAGAAAAGAAAAGAAAAGAAAAGAAAAGAAAAGAAAAGAAAAGAAAAGAAAAGAAAAGAAAAGAAAAGAAAAGAAAAGAAAAGAAAAGAAAAGAAAAGAAAAGAAAAGAAAAGAAAAGAAAAGAAAAGAAAAGAAGTAATTATTGGCAATGAAGTACTAAGAGGATGTATTCAGGGTTGTTTTGTTTTGAATTTTTTTTTGTTTTGTTTTTGGTTGTTGTTGTTGTCCTGTTAACTAGCATTTTTTTTTTTTTTCCTGTGCCAGTCTCACAAATTCATTTGAAAAATACATGTATTTGCTAGTTCTTTGTGGTGTATAGAACAATTAGATGAACCTCTATCCTAGAAAGGAAGTAAGTACTTGATTCTGAATCTTAAGTACAAAAGGTGGGCTTTTCAGGCAACAGTTGAAACACATACAGGGAAATGAAAATATAAGTCCATATAAGTTCAGCAACCGAAGTTGTGTCATTACGAAGTGATATATAGCTATAGATTGCAGTATTGATATTTGCTCATTTCTTGTCAACATCACACTAAAAAGCTTAAAACTCCTAAAAACTTGGCTTAGGAACACTGAGAAGGCCTTAAAATCACTCTTCCAGAGGTAATGGATGCCAAGAAGAATTATGATGTTGGCAAAGTAAATACTGAAAGTTACATGGGCTGAACAAAACAGTATGTATCTAGCAAATCAGATGCAACATTTTCATACTGAGAAGAGCATCTTGAACAGGGATTGTGTTTTCTACGGATAAAATGTCCTTATCTGATCTTCTCTTCTAGAAGGGATAATAACACTCATGTCAAAGCTCAGTACATTGCTCTTTCATAAAGAGCTTTTCCTAGTATTTCTAAATGCCTTCCTGGTAAACAGACTAGAAGGGAACTGTATTATCTTTTTTCTTGACTGGATGCTTTTCTTTTCTGAGAAGAATTTAAATCTATTGTGTGTGACAGAACACTGAAATACAACACAAGAGAGCAGCTGTTTAAAATACTATTCACTACTTCAAGGTCATCCCAGATTACCGTTTTGCCCTCATGCGTTTGTGTATGCTATAATGACTGCAGCTCTACCATACAGACTGTGTAGCTTAAAATCAGATGCAGCCCTGGCCCAAATGGTAAGCACCACTACCAATAGACTTTTAATTTTTGTTTTTAATGCTTTAGCAAAGTAAAAAGATAGTTTTTGCTTTCTTTGTATGTCATTCTTGTAATTTATAATTTTTTCATCATGTGAGGTAAAAGTAAATATCTTTTTTAGACAGGAGCACGGTTTATCTCTGTTAAACAAATTTCCTAGGGAGAACACTGTTTTCTCACAGGGCTCCATTACAAGATTTCATCAGCTTCCTCAGACAGACTACATTCAGCAATAAATCTCTTGTCCTACTGTTCCTTTATTTCCTTAATTATTTTTGCTTTTCTAAATAATCATATAGGAAGATTTTCCTCAATAATGAAAAAGAAACAGGCTTTTTGTAATCTATTAGAGATTAATGATAATATTCACAAATATGGAACTGTTTTCTCTAATTCTTTCTCTCACAATCACAACAATCAGCCACATTTTTCATGTTGTCAGCAACATCAGCCAAGGAAACAGCAGATTCCTATAGCTTCTGTTTCAGGTTAAATCCAGTAGGCAGCTAAGCGTCATGTAACCATACTACACAGTGTCAGGGGTTAAGAATCAGAAGGGTAAAAGTGAGAAAACTTGTGAATTGAGACAAATACAACATAACAGGCAAAAGAAAATAAGGGCAGGCAAAGCAAAAAGAAAAATCAATTCCCTACTCTTGATATTTAAGCATTGAGCACTACTAAGGTGATGTTTAAGCAATGCCAGGAAAGTGGGGCTTCATCATACATAACGGTTACAACGGATGCTGTAACAATGAACATTTGCCCTTCCTGCTTTTTCAGTTTTTATTGCTAAGCAAGACATTATATGATATGGAATATCACTTTAGTATATTTGGGTCTGCTGTTCTGGAGGTGTTCCCCTTCCACCTTCCCTAGGTTCTTGTGCTTCCCCAGGTTATTATGCTTCCTTGCTGGGAGAAACAGAAAAGAAAGACTGTAAGTACTATTCAATAACAACTGAAGTAGCTCAGTGCTGTTTTGGTCACAATTCCATAAGACAGCACAATGCGACCTACAATGAAAAAAAAAAAAAAACCAACCTCGGTTTCAGACAAAATTAGTAGAGCTTTCAAGCAATCTGAAATATAAGGTGGGAGATGAGTGAAAAATTATGGAAGCTGGAACCAAGCCTTCGTTTTCATGCAAGATAAATGTAATAAGAAATTAACCTTACCTATTGTGAGAATCCTTCTTTGTTTTTTTGGCTCAAAGCTTGCTTCCTGAGGAATTTCTTGTGATAAGACTCTGATTGATTTGTTGAGGAGGCAAGTGATGGGTGCTCTCGTGTGACAATTGACATCCCTCTGGGAACATTTGAAAGCCCCTTCCTCCAGAGCTGCTTACCTCCGGAAGAGAGTGCTCAGGAGTGTTCACTGGCTGAAGATCTGGCCTGTGACTAAATAGCTCCAGGCTGGTATGGGAAAATTGGGGAATGGTACCATCGTGTCCTGTGAAAAACAGGAGGCAGATGGGCATCCCTGCTCCCTCTTATCTGCTGGCACAGCCCGGAATGTGGGAACAATGGAGTTTCTGCTGAGATCCCAGAGCCAGAAGCTGCCACTCCAAGGAGAGTTGACTCAACCACTTTGGATTTGAGCTGTCACTCCAAAGACAGCTGACTCGACCACTTTGAAAGTATTGAAAAGGAGCCATCATCACCGTGGTTGTCGTCGTCGCGGTTATCGTTGTCAACAGAACAAAAACACCCGATGACCCACCGCTATTGAAGATCAATGACTGAACTACGAACCTCGCTGGATCCACGGTGGTGACTATGTCCCTCTTGCTTCCTATAAACACTCCTTGCTTCTTCTTTCTTACCTTTTCTATCGCCCTCCTTCCCTTCCCCATTACCCTAATTCATAATAGCGTCCGTCCTCCCCTTCACCATCTCCCTAATTAACTTCTGTAATAAACTGGTCGGACCAACATTTGAACCGTTGTTTCTTAATCTCACGCCGGGGATATAGATATTAAAAGAACCTCCTCTCCCTCCTGTAAATCGGAGCGAGACATTTTATTTAATGGCGTCACGGACAGGATCCCCACCGTGAGAGTGTTGTCCTTCCAGATATAGTCTGAAACTTTCTTTGTGTGTACCTCCTGGAGTTGCATGGACCGATATTTTTGAAAACTTAAACGTGAGTCCTTCTCCAGGAAGACCGCTCCATATTCTGAAACTTTACTTTTTATGTGTATACCTCTCGGGACGTATGAATTAATTTTGATTACGTGTGTGCCTCCTCGGGAAGACCTTTTCTGCATTTTTGTGATTTAAGTATCTTGTAACTTAAGTGTGAAATTTGAACTCTTTTGTGTGCTTGCCTCAGAGAAAGGGAAGAGTGATTGGAGCATTTGCATTTCTTTAGTAGGTGTGTGACTCCCTGGGGGGAGGTAAGGAGTTACCTGAGCTTTTGAATACGTATACCTCCCTCTCTCTAAGTGTTTATCTTTCAGCGTATTGAAAAATGAGTGACAGCATTGCCACCAAGAAAAGTGAAGATGTATTATTTGATCTTTTAGAAAAACATGGTGCTCGACCCTCTTTATCAGGTGTGGATTGGGCACGACAGAACTGGTATAACTTGCAGAGTGTTTCGGACCGTATTCGTATTTTACAAAATGAGGCTCGTACCCGAGCCGGAAATGGAAAGTCGTTTATTTGTGCCGCACTCAGGGCTGCTTTAAAAGCTGCCGTGGAGTTCCGAGAGGAAAAGCATTCGGCAGAAACCCAAACTATACAAGCACTACAGGAATCAGTTAAAGTAACACAAGAACTGGTAAAAACTTTGCAGAATCAAATAGTGAACCTTGAGGAACAGTTAGAAAGAGAGAAACATAATTCGGCTTTGTTGCAAACGGCTTTTAAGGAACTGTTAACGTCTAAGCATGCCGACAATACTGTCACCCATAGTCTGCCTCACGAAAAAACTTTTCCTCAGGAGGAACTGCAAGGAATGAAGGGCTGCCTATTGGGTAGGTGGTCTCAACCCTTTAGAAAGGGGAGATCCTCTTGCTATTATTGGAACAGTTGATCAGTTAGAAGAGAGTGTTCAAAAGGCTGCTTGTCTCCAAATGATGTATGATAGAAAGCTGCAGCCAAACCATGAGTCACCTATGATGATGCCTGTCGATCCTGAAAGGATGACCGCCCTAATTAGGGGGCTTCCAGAGTCGTTAAAACCTATAGGTATACAACTGCAAGGAAAAATACAGGTAATGCCTCAGGGAGAGAGAGCCCGGGCAGCGTTGGAAGGAACAGTAACCCCCAACCATCTGCAGTCAGGATTCAAAGTATGGACATGGGGGGAGGTTGCCCAAGAGTTAATTAACTATGGGAGAAAATGTGGGCCAGTGGTTTCTTCCTCCAGTAAATTTGAGCCTAGGGGAATAAGACTTGCAGCGGTCAGCCTTGCCCCCAGGCCACCTAGCCCAAAGCTCAGTGGGACTGGCAGGGTCTCATTGCCAGTAAAAACTGGTAGGCGAAATATTGATCATAAACGTCATTGTCTCTGGACACTGGGCTGGCTAAAGGGTGTTCCACGAGATCTGATGAATGGATTAGCCACTGTCAAGTTAGAGAAATTAGTTAATTGGTGGCCAGAAGAAAAACTCAGGGATCTTGAGGAAAGCAAAACCCCAGGTCCTGGGGCCTCTCCCAGGGAACCTGAATGGCTATCCAA